AGTCTTTGGTCCCCCTGCACCCACTTGGGAGTCATGGAAGAAGGTCCTGGCTCCTGGCTTCAGATCAGCCCAGCTCTGGCCAGGTCTTCCACATGGGTGTAGGGGGCCAAAGGAATTGGGCCATCTGCCTCTGCTTTCCCAAAAGCATTAACTGGGAGCTGGATCAGAAGCACAGCAGCCAGGATTCCAATGGGTGCTTATATGGGATGCCAGCCTTGCAGGCAGCAGCTTAACTTGCTGTGTAACAATGCTGGCCTAACAAATTTCCTTTTAAATCACATTATTATGAAGTCTCATCAGAGCTTTAACCATCATCATTTTAAATCTTTTGTGATCTGTACATAGTTAATTGGTTTTACTCATGCTTTCTTGATAGCTTTTGCAAGCAACTGTAATCTAAAATTGCTTCCTCTTCAAGGGATTCATGGAAAGCACTCTGACATGTTGGGGTTTCTGATAACCTCAAGATCATATCAGAGATGAGCGTTTAGTACAGAGGTTAAGTTGTCACTTGGGACACCTGCCCCCCATGCTGGAGTGCTTGGTTTGTATACCCTATCCACCCACTCACCCTGTCGCTGCCTTGATCTACCTTCCTGCTATTGAACACTTTGGGAGGCAGTGGATGATGGCTTAAGGACTTGGTCTCTGCCACCCACATGGGAGGCTGGGATGTTGTTCCTGGATCCTGGCTTCTGGCTTTGTCCTTACCTACCCCTAACTATTGTAGGCATTTGGAGAGTGAACCAATGAATGGAAGATCCATCTCTCTCTCCATTTCAAATAAAATGAAAAAAAAAATTATACCATTGGGCTATTTAAGGATTTTTCAAAACTCTAATAAATTGGTTGGTTCATAAAACTGCTAAACTAGGGGCCATCACTGCCAGTAAGTTGCTGCCTGGCATTGCATATGAGTGTTGGCTTGAGTCCAGGCTGATGTTCCCTATTCAGCTCCCTGTTAATGCACCTGGGAAAGCAGCAGAAGATGGCCCAAGTCCTTAGGCACCTGCACCACGTGGGAGACCCCAAGGGAATTCTGGGCTCCTTGGTTTGGCTTGACACAGCCCTGTCATTGGGGAGTGAACTAGTGGATGGATGATGAGTCTTTGTCCCCCGCCTTTGTCACTCTTACAACTAACTAAATATTTTTTTCAAAAACTGTGAAACTAAAATTTCCCAATTATATTAGTTGGCAACTATCCCCAAATAGCTTGGATAGTTAAGAATTGTTGACCTATTTATATTTTAAATATATTTTGTCGTATTTCTATTTTGTTGCAGTCACCAAATAAAATATATGGGCAAATCTACAATTGTGTAATGTACTTGAAGGTACACACTTAGCTACCATTGAAACTCTTCTTCTTAAAAGTAAATAAATGCTATCATTGTGGCATAGTGGGCTAAGCCTCTGCCTCTGGCACAAGCATCCCATATGGGAACTGGTTTGTGTCCCAGCTGTTCTTCATCTAATCTAGCTCTCTGCTTATGGCCTGGGAAAGCAGTAGAAGATGGCCCAATTGCTTGGGCCCTTGTATTCACATGTGAGACCCATGGGGGATTCCTGGCTTCAGATCAGCCCAGATCCTGCTGTTGCAGCCATTTGGGGAGTAAACTCTTAGACGGAAGACCTTTCTCTCTGTCTCTTCCTTTTTCTGTAACTCTGCCTCTCAAATAAATAAATAAAATGTTTTAAGCAAAGAGTAAATATTTTAATCTTATTTAACAACAACAACAAAAAGAAAAACCCCAAAACTGCTAAACTACGATCAAGCAAAACAAGAATGAATTACCTGGGACTAAAGAAACTGGTGAGGATGATTATAACACTTGTAGGTTTTTTGTTTAACACTGCTGGCTATTTGTTTTATTTTCTAGATTTAATGGGACCTGTTTCTTTTTTCCCTCTTCAGTTATCTATGTTTTAGCTAATTTTCTTCTTCCATAACAGCATAGCATGGATTTGGCTCATGGTTCCAGAGGCTGAGAAGTCCAAGCTCAAGGGCTGCACCCAGTGAGGGCCTGCGATAGTCAGGATTCTCTATAGAGAAACAGAACCTGCAGGAGCTGTGAGAGGGGATTTACTAGGGGAACTAGTACACATGATTACAGAGACTGAGAAGGTCTGCGATAGGCAGTCTGTGAGCTGGAGAACCACTGAAGTTAGTACAGTGGCTCAGTCTGGGTCTGGAAGCTTCAGAACCAGGTAAACTGATGGTACAGCTCCTAGTCTGAGTCAAAGGCTCCAGAGTCCCAGGGGCCACTGGGACAAGTACCAGCATGCCCACAGGCAGAAGAACTATCCCTAGTCTAACATAACAACTTTCTTCTTTAATTGTAATTGGTTTGTTTTTCCATATGTCGGGCACAAGGTGATTTCCCAATCAAATGGAATTCCAGCATAAATGGGTTACTAGAGTGGGAAGAGTTTTCCTTAGCCCTGGCAACCAGTTTCTGACTAGTTGGCAGCAGTCAGCATATCCTCCTCTCATTACTTCAATATGTTTTTTTCTCCCTGATGTGTGCCACAGTATGTAAAAGTTTGGGAAACACTGGTTTAGGTAACTGTATTTTATAAAAAAAGGACATCTTTTTATTTATTTATTGTTTGATAGGCAGAGTCGACAGTGAGAGAGAGAGACAGAGAGAAAGGTCTTCCTTTAGCACTGGTTCACCCCACAATGACCTCTGTGGCTGGTGCGCTGTGGCCGGCGCACTGCGTTGATCTGAAGCCAGGAGCCAGGTGGTTCTCCTGGTCTCCCATGCGGGTGTGGGGCCCAAGGACTTGGGCCATCCTCCACTGCACTCCCGGGCCACAGCAGAGAGCTGGACTGGAAGAGGAACAACCAGGACAGAATCCGGTGCCCGACCGGGACTAGAACTCGGTGTGCCAGTGCCGCAGGTGGAGGATTAGCCTATTGAGCCACGGCGCCAGTGACATAATTTTTTTTTTAAAATCTTTATTTATTTGAAATGCAGGGAGAAGCAGAAGGGGAGAGAGAGAGAGAAAAAAAAATTTCCATCCACTGGCTAATTCCCCAAATGGCCACAATATTCAGAACTGAGTCAGGCCAAAGCCAGGAGCCAGGAATTCCATCCTGGTCTCCCACATGGGTGGCAGGGGCCCAAGTATTTGGGCCATCATTGCTGCTTCCCCAGACACATTAGTAGGGAGCTGGATTGGAAGCAGAGCAGCTGGGACTTGAATCAGCACTGGGATATGGGATGCTGGTGTCACAGGCAAGTATAGCTTAGCTCTCTGTGCCACAGTGCTGGCCCCTTAAGTTTATATTTATTTATTGAAAGGCAGAGCAACATAAAAACCTCAAAGAAGTTTCTTATGTGCTTGGACTTACAGGAGGCATAAAAGCTAAAGAACGGTAAGTACAAGAGAGAAAGACTTGTGGTAGGAAGGTCAGGAACTGAGTCTCTGTCCAGCAGTCTGCCTTGGAGCAGGAGTCTTTATCAGTGTTGTTGTCACTTACAGCTCAGGTGTAACACCCATGACGTACAATTGCTGATTACATAGTAGGGGTGGAATAAATGTGTGTTCAATATGAATTTCTCATTACAACTAACTGGATATCAAGGTGAATCAAATAGTTCACAGCAACCAAAAATATAAAAATTCGGAAGAATTCCAGCAAGATGAATAAAAAAATTGGAATATATGCAGACATATGTCTATGTTCTTAGGTAAGATTAACTACTATAAATATGTCAATTCTTAACAGATTAACTTACAGTGTGAATACAAGTTTAGTAAAAATGTTAAGGACACTTTTAGATTTGGAAAAACACTTAAGAACAAATAGGTGGGAATATATAACAAGAATCTGAAAAATGAGAGTAGGGGATGGGTGAGAGAAAGGTGGTGAGAAAAAGCTCTAACAAACATTAAAACAAAAAAACTAGAATAATTAAATGAGTGAATAGGCCCAGGTAACCTTAGCATTATACCTTACAAATAGTCCCTTACAAATATTAAAATACCTTATAAATATTAAAGAAAAATTCAATGAAAAAAAGGATAACCATAAGTAATATTCAACTCATTAGCCTGGGATATAGTAATTTGGGAAAAAACGTAAGTAATGTCTTACCTTATATCAGACGTAGCCTTTAGAGAAACAAAAACAAAAAGGAAGAAACTAGAAGTGAAAGTTAATAAAATTATTATGTGAGGCAGATTTAATCTTAAAATAGAAGCAAAAGTTAATGAAATTATTACATGAGGCAGATTTAATCTTGAAGGGGTAGATCAAAAAAGTAAACACTGAAAGTCTGATTAAAGAAACATTACAACTTTTTAATTTTTTAAAACCTCTAACCAAAATGTGAGGCAAACATGTTAAGGAAAAAAACTGTAGCCAAAATGTCTAAGTATCAGTACTACCATATAATTCAAGGCACCTATACATATAAAAAAGCAAAACAAAACAACTAAAACAAATTCCTTCAATCCAATATATTGGCCCATTAAAGTTCTATATAAATCAATCATATTGTTACAGGTTTGGATTTTTTAATCTGAAGATAAAGATATATTCACCTGTAGTAGAAATGAAGCAATAGTAACTAAAGCAAAGACTAAACGGGTTAACTTTGGCCATTTGATGGTATTCTGTATATATTTGTAAGTATTATTTAGTAACATTACAAGTGAAAAATGTTTTTGGCTGCTTGTCAGCATGTGTATACGTTATGTCTGTTCTGGTCTGCAGTGGTTGCCTCAAGTTGGTGAAAGGTGAATAAAGAGATCACGGCATTGGAGAGGTTTTAGAAATACCGGAGGAGCATCCGATGGCCAGCAGATCTATCTGCATATGGAAAGCTAACTTTGCTCCTAGTTTCAACATTACTAATTCAGTAACCATGAGAGTCTCACATTCTTCTCTCTCTGCCCCTCCCCAAATCCTGCAAAAAAGGTAAGCACTTGAAACTAACAGGCACTGAATCACAGCAAATGGTAAAGGAGGTAACAAAAGCAAACCCCATCCTTTAAAAAACATTTTTATTTTCCAAGCACACAGACATAAAAATGACATTTGCTCACTATAGAGAGCAGCTTAAGACATATCAGAAATGGATTACAATGCACATATGTTACAATGGTCATTAATCTGACAGGTCTCATGTTTCTTCAGTTATATTTGAAAAATTATTAAAATGTTACAGCATACTGGTGAAACTGGCAAGTTTACTTCTCACGTTAAAAAGGAAGAATGATTTGGATAAGTGAAAAACCAAGGTACAGACCACTGTTGACATGTAATATAGTAACTTCCTATCCAGCATCAATCAGGAATGAAGCATTCTACCTAACTCTTCTTTAGACAAATGACTTTTTATCCTTCAAAGCCTAAAACTGTTATTTTCACTACCATGAATGGTATCGTGTTAACATGCCTTCTTAAAACTTTAAAATAAACCATGCAGAATATTCTAACATTCTTTTGTTAATATTCATCATCACGATTATGAACCACTTAGTTTATGGTGCAAATCAATATCCTAAAAATTTACCAAGGTGCCCTACTTTAGATAACCTAATATGGCTCTGTTTTAAAAATTGTCAAATCATTTAGTCAGATTTAACTGTCAGCAGTTTCTTCTTGTTTTCGTTTAATACCCTGGTTTTCTCCTACTTTCCTTATTTCCTTTAATACAAACATTAGGGTAGAGCAACACGTAAGTCACACAAAACTTTGATGGATTATAATGGTTCTCTTAAAGGTCATTCCTTTTACCTGAACAGTTTAGAGGGTTATATACTGAACAAGAAAGGAATTGAAAAAATAAAGGAAGTGTTTACACAGAGTGGTCAGATGATTATCACAACTGCTCTTAAATGTGTAAGATTCAATCTGCTTTAGGCTAGGAATCCAGGAAATGAAGTTAAGACCATTTCTAAAGTAGGGTGTGCTGGTTATCTTTCAAGCACAGGTATTTGACATCCGAAACATTTACATATTTTTGCCATCCAGAAGTTTAGTTTACTTGTTTTTCTTCTTTATTTCTTAGTCACAGTTAAGGTTGTTGGGTATGTAACCTCTGAGAAAAGTGCTATTGAACCATTATTTTATTAACTGTAAATTAGCAATGAAATGATTTTTGCGACTACTCTCTTCCAGCTGAAAGTATAATGATCAAATTTTGACTCAAGTGTCTTGAGACAAAAACTGTAAAACAGTAAAAAAATTCCATCTAGGAAATAAGTAATTTCAAAAAATGTCAACTTGTATAAATGTTAAAAATATTTTCTTTTTATGACTTTTTTAGATTTAAGATGTTTTAAAATAACAAAATAAAAAAGGACTCAAATTATTTCATTGAATTTAAGATAACTACTTAATTCATATCTCTATTTTTATTATATCAAGATTGATCTTAATGCTAAACTTCTTAATGTAGGTTTTCATTAATAGAAAACCAATATCAACTAAGATCTATCAATAGATTTTTGCACACAAACCACAGTTAAGTTTTAGAAAATTAATATAACATTTTTTCTTTAAAGTTGTCATAAATACGCCCAACAATTTTCATTTTGAAAATGTAAATTCATCTCATTACAGCAGACTGGAACTCCAGACTAATTTCAGGAAATTTTTAGGAAATAAATTTCCTAATGCTTTGTCTTTTCATATATCCTATGCATCATTAGCATAAGTAAAATATGTTAAATATACTGCTGGCATTCATTACACTAAAAAACATATATCAGTGAAAAAAAAGAAAAGCACATTTTGAAATCTATGCTCCATTTATGAAAATATATTATTGTGGAAAATTCCATCATTCAACACTGACTAAATATTTATTGAATGCATTGTGCAAGGTATGAAAAATACTACAGTAAATGATAAGAATATTAATGACCTTGGCCTATGCATTATATATTGTTACTGTATATAACAGATATCACAACTTAAAGATATTTTCCATTTTCATATTTTATTTGTTTAAAACAAATGGAAGATTACATGATTTTTTTTCAAATTTGGGTTCATAATTCTTTAGATACCTAGGAATCCCAAAATAGTCCTTTGGTATTGATAATCTTTCTTTCTGATTCAAAATGAAAGTTACCTATCTTTGTACATTAATAAAAATCAATTCTTTTATAATTTTACCCAATTGGGCATCAATATTATATGAATGAGATTTTTAAAATAACTTGAGCTTATGCAGAGAAGGCATTTTGACTGTATTATGACCTTGCATTCCATAACATAAGTGATCACATGCTTATTAAATATACACAAATGAATTATAAATCATAAAGTGTTTCAAGAATAGTAGCAATTGACCAGGCTTGTGTTTCACAGCTGAAAGGACAGTACTGGCCATTCTCGTTGGTCAGTTCTGGGAGTCCTTTCCAAGGGGACCTGAAAGAAGGAAAAACATTTTATGAGAAGTAATCTAACACATATTAACAAAACAGGCAAAACCTTCTAATTTTTGTTTTCCAGAATAGAAAACAATCATTTATATAGTCATTTGCTACAAAGTAAAACAGAATTTCCTAAAGACAAACACACAAGTAATTTAGATTGAAATTACACTTTGATATTCCATCTTTGGAATTTCAGATTTTCAAATACAAATGAACCTCTATAATTATGAAAAACAGAGAAAACCCCACCATTCCAAGCAATAGATAAAGACAAAGAACTCTCTCAGGCATAATTTTATTATTTTAGAGTCGGTTTATAAGACTCTAATTATATAATTATTATATGTGTTCTTAATTCATACATATTATGTATGATCTTGATTCTAGTATAAAAGTAAATGAAAGAATCAAACTATTTCCAAGTAATTTAATACCGTTCCAAAAAAAACACAAGAATATTCATACAAACACAAAAAACCCCAGTATCCAACAAGGTAAAACTTATACACAGTATTGAGCAAAAAACTACCAGGAGAGAAAATAGGATGGTATGACCCATAATAAAGAGAATAATCATAAGTAAAACCAGCTAGAAATGAATTAGCAAAGACATTAGTTACTATAACTGTATTTCATATGTTCAAAACATATGAGCAGAAACACGTAAGACATGCAAAAAGGCCCACTTAAAACTTAAAGAAATGAAAACTACAGTGTGTAAAATGAGAAAAACACTGGAGGGAAGTCATGGCAGATTAGAAATAAGGATGACAGATTTCTTACCACAACAATACAATAATTTTAAAGCTCCAAAAGAAAAAAAAAAAAAACCCTGTTAATCTTGAATTGTATATGCAGTGAAAATATCTTTTAAAACTGAACTCAGGGGCTGGTGCCTTGGCTCACTAGGCTAATCCTCTGCCTTGCGGCGCCGGCACACCGGGTTCTAGTCCCGGTCGGGGTGCCGGATTCTGTCCCGGTTGCCCCTCTTCCAGGCCAGCTCTCTGCTGTAGCCAGGGAGTGCAGTGGAGGATGGCCTGAGTGCTTGGGCCCTGCACCCCATGGGAGACCAGGAGAAGCACCTGGCTCCTGCCATCGGATCAGCGCGGTGTGTAGGCCGCAGCACGCCGGCCGCAGCGGCCATTGGAGGGTGAACCAAAAGCAAAGGAAGACCTTTCTCTCTGTCTCTCTCTCTCACTGTCCACTCTGCCTGTCAAAAAATAAAAAACAAACAAACAAACAAACAAACAAAAAAAACAAAACTGAACTCAGGCTGGCGCTGCGGCTCAATAGGCTAATCCTCCACCTTGTGGCGCTGGCACAAGTTCTAGTCCCGGTTGGGGCGCTGGTTCTGTCCCGGTCGCTCCTCTTCCAGGCCAGCTCTCTGCTGTGGCCTGGGAGTGCAGTGGAGGATGGCCCAAGTACTTGGGCACCTGCACTCGCATGGGAGACCAGGAAGAAGCATCTGGCTCCTGGCTTAGGGTCAGTGTACCGCCAGCCCTAGTGGCCATTTGGGGGGTGAACCAAAGGAAGGAAGACCTTTCTCTCTGTCTCTGTCTATAACTCTACCTGTCAAAAAACAAACAAACAAACAAAAAAAAACAAAAAAACAACACTGAACTCCAGGGGCAGGCACATGCCTTAGTGGTTAAGATGCCTGCATCACATAGAAGAGCGCCTGGGTTTGAGACCTGCCTCCAGTTTTCTGCTAATGCAGATCCTGGGAGGCAGCAGGGATGGCTCAGTGTTTGGGTTCCTGCCACCCATGTGGGAGATCTGGAATAAGTTCTTGGTTCTTAGCTTTGGCACTGGACTTGGGGCTGTTGTAGGCATTTAGGGGGTGAAATAGATGGATGGATAGATGGATGACAGTTCTTTTTGTCTCTCTCTCAAAAAAAAATAAAGAATTGGAGGAAAAATACTTTGCTCACATACAAGAGCTGAAAGAATTCCTCTGAGAAGGCCCACACTGTAAGAAGTCAGTGAGGCAGAAGAAGAATGATACCAGATGGAACTACGGATAATCACAAAGACATGAAGAGCACAGGACATGGCAACCATGTGAGTAATTATATCACACTTTTTGGTATTATTTAAATATTTTTAAAAGATTAGCCGGCGCCGCGGCTCACTAGGCTAATCCTCCACCTTGCGGCGCTGGCACACCGGGTTCTAGTCCCGGTCGGGGCGCTGGATTCTGTCCCAGTTGCCCCTCTTCCAGGCCAGCTCTCTGCTGTGGCCAGGGAGTGCAGTGGAGGATAGCCCAAGTACTTGGGCCCTGCACCCCATGGGAGACCAGGATAAGTACCTGGCTCCTGCCATCGGATCTGCGCGATGTGCTGGCCGCAGCGCGCTGGCCGCGGCGGCCATTGGAGGGTGAACCAACGGCAAAGGAAGACCTTTCTCTCTGTCTCTCACTGTCCACTCTGCCTGTCATCCACTCTGCCTGTCAAATAAAAAAAAAAAAAAAAAAAGATAACTGCTTAGGGGCTGGCGCCATGGTGCAGTAAGTTAATCCTCTGCCTGCAGCGCCAGCCTCCCGTATAGGCACCGGTTCTAGTCTCATCTGTTTCTCTTCCAATCCAGTTCTCTGCTATGGCCTGGGAAAGCAGCAGAAAATGGCCCATGTGCTTGGGCCCCTACACCTGCGTGGGAGACCAGGAAGAAGCTCCTGGCTCCTGGCTTTGGATCGGCACAGTTCTGGCTGTTGCGGCCCTCTGGGGAGTGAACCAACTGAAGGAAGACCTTTCTGTCTCTTCCTCTCACTGTCTGTAACTCTAACTCTCAAATAAATAAATAAAGTCTTAAAAAAAAGATAACTGCTTAAACAAAATTAGTAATAATGCAACATGGGAGTTATAAGATGTAAAAGCAAAATGGATGACAGTAACAGCACAAAGTTCTGGAGAGAGAAATGGAACTCTGTTCTTTTAAGGCTTGTATACTACTGAAGTGATATATCACTTTTTTTAACTCCTAGTGGCGCCTTGTGCCTTGCACGGTCCCTGGACTGGCACAGTTGCCCGCCCCCTGGGGCCGCCGAGGGCTACTTTACCCCTCCGTTCTGGCCGCTGGGAGCAGAGCAGCTCCAGGCGGGCAAAGCTTGAGGGGATGAGAGGTGGTATGTCATCTGACCATGAGAACTTAAAGGTGTAAACTATAAAACAACAGCAATCATTAAAGGAAGGAAATAATTATAGCTAATTAAAAGTATTCAAAAGAAGAAGAAAAAGAAGAGGAAGCTAACAGTAAGATAAAGACAGGATAGGTAGAAAGCAAACCATATTAATAATCACATTAAGTGTAAATGATCTAAACTTGAATGGCAGAGATTATGCAGCTGTTAAAGAATGTCAGACTCAAGTATATGCTGTTGTGTACAAGATACTCACATTAAACACAAAGAAACAATTAGGTTAAACATAAATTGGAAAATATACACTGTGGTAACTAAGCAAAAGAAATATGCAGCAGGGCCAGCATTGCAGTACAGTGGGTTAAGCCACCACCTGCAACACTGGCATCCCATATGTGCACTGGTTGGAGTCCCAGCTGCTCCACTTGTGATCCAGCTCCCTGTTAATGCGCCTGGGAGAGCAGCAGAAGATGGCCCAAGTGCCTGGGCCCCCTGCACCCACTTGGGAGACCATTATGGCTATTTGGGGAGTGAACCAATATATTAAAGGTCTCTCTCTCTCTCTCTCTAAATCTACTTTTTAATAAAAAATTTAGAAAAAGGAAATCTAGAGTGATTAAATTGATATTAAAGTAGACATTGGAGCAGAGTACTATTATCAGTGATAAAGAAGGTCATTTCATAATGATAAAGGGGTCAATACATCAAAAAAAAAAACACCCCAAAACAAAGCAAAAACAAAAAATAGCAAGCCTCAGGGCTGGTGCTGTGGCATAGTTGGTCCTGTATGGGTGCCAGTTCAAGTCCTTGCTGCTCCACTTCTGATCTAGTAGAGAGCTTGGGCCAAAGTGCATCCACAAGGGAAACCTGGACAAAGCTTCTGGCTCCGGCCTGGCCCAGCCCTGCCTGTTGTGGCCATTTGGGGAGTGAACCAGCGGATGGAAGACCTCTCTCTTTTAACTTTGACTTCAAAGATATAAATCTTTTTTAAAAAGAAAAAAAAAAAACCAGTAAGCCTAGACATTTTAGGCAACTAATAAGGGAGTTTCAGAGTATATGAAGTAGAAACTAATACAATCACTTGGAAAAATAGACAATTAAGGTAGAAGATCTCAATATTCTCTGTCAGTAATTCATAGGACAACTAGGCAGAAACCACACAGGGAGTCTGAACAATACTATCAACACCATGATCTAATCGACATTTACAGAATTCTTCACTTGGGGGCAGGCATCTGCATTCTACATCAAAGTACCTGGGTTCCAGTCCTAGCTCTGCTCCTCCTCCAGTTTTCTGTTAAAGCACACCCTTGAAGGCAGCAGGTGGTGGACCAAGTAGCTGGATCCCTGCCACCTACTGAGAGGCTCAGACTGAGTACCTGGTTCCTAGCTTAAGCCTGGCCCAGCCATGGCTATTGTGGGTATCTGAGGAGTGAACTAGTGGATAGCAGCTCCCTTTCTCTTTCCCTCTCTCTGTTTCATTGCTTTTTTAAAAAAATTAAAATTAAAAAAAAGTTAAAAAAATTCCACCAAAGATAATTCCCCACCCAAGGACAACAGAATACACAATCTTTTCAACTACAAAAATATTAGTTACCTAGACAGAACATACTCCTTATTTATTTAAAAGTATTTACTTATTTATTTTGAAAGTCATAGTTACAGGGAGGGGGAGAGGGAGAGGGAGAAAGAGGAGTGGGGGGAAGAGAGAAATGAATTTTCTATCCACTGGCTGGGGCTGGGCCAGGCTGAAGCCAGGAGCCAGGAGCTTCTTCTGGGTCTCCTACACAGGTGGCAGGAACCCAAGCACTTGAGCCACCTGCTGCTGCGTTTTCCAGGCCATCAGCAGGGAGCTG